TGAACCAAATTCCGGTTCTGATGTGGTATCCATGAAGCTACGGGCAGATAAAAAAGGTTAGAAACTTTCTACAGTAACATTTCTAATTGAATGCCTTCTGTTTAGGGTTGATAACCTTTATCATCCACTATACAGTATTTATAGTATCATGTATATTTAAATTGTATTGTTTGTCAGTATTTTTCTCCATGATTATATGTTGTGTATAATTGCATTTTGGACATGACCCTGTCCAAAATCGAATTCATTGTGTACTGACCAGTAGCTTTTATTTTATAAACAAACATAGCTGATATTTTTCTGTCAGTGTGAGTTAAATATTCAGATCATTATCTATAGAAATAAGCATGTTTTGTGGGTGTGGATATAGGACATTGGAGTTTCCCCATGAAGAACCAGTCTTGCCTGAAGTTTCCCATATTCTTATAATTTTAATAACAAATTTTATCTTGTTGGCAACTTGGAATATTCTAGAAATGAAAGTTTGACTATCATCATGGTTCTGTGTTTGTGTCTTAGCTTTTTTACTATGTTCTTTACGATTAGGATTATAGGTTGTTTGGCACTTATGATTAAGATTACTTATTACTTTATTTGAAAACCATGATGATTACCCGGAAGATAACAATTGATTTGTATTTGCTTGTTTTTTGTTATGGCAAATACATTGTATAACTGAAAACCGAATAATTTTAACTCTTTGTAAATGTTTATGGACACAATTACTTACCTGTTGAATAACTGACTTTATAATAAAGTGACAAAGAGCCACACAAGAGGTTTTTATATATGGGCTTTTCAGCTCAGCTGTATTATCTTGGCATTCTACTTAGAGTCCAATAAAAGTACATTTATTTGATGTCTACTTTACTGCTAACTTGTATTTAATGAATGATTTGCTCACTGAACATGAAGTTTTGAATAACCAAATGGTACTTAAAATTATAAGAAACAGTATGTTTTTAGAAAATTAGCATGTATATTGACTACCTTAGATTAGCCCTTCCTTATTGTAACAGTCAACATTCCTGGTCATTTTTTAATGCAAACTAAATATTCTTATAATTATTAAGAATATAATTGGAATAATTAGCATACTTAATATGATCAGTATAATTAGCATAATTAATATAATTAGTATAATTAATATAATTAGCATAATTAATATAATTAGCATAATTAATATAATTAGTATAATTAATATAATTAGCATAATTAATATAATTAGTATAATTGTGATATTTGTTGTTGTAATTGATTGTATTCATGATTTGACAATGCAATTATGCTACCAATAAAGGAGGCTTATGATTTTAAAACTTCTAAAACCACTTACTCAACAAATGAAAAAATATTTAATGGACTTGAGAAATTAAGTAAAAATAAAACAGAAAACAGCTGCTTTCCTGAAAATATTAGGCTGATTTGATATGTAAGAAAAGGAATATATGTACTTGACACAATGACATATGCTAGACAGCTGCAATAACAAACTCTTTTCATCCAAATTTTTCTGAAAGTTTGATTTGACCCAAATATTTTTCATGACATACCAATAAGTGACACATATCAAATATTTGATTAAAGAGCTATGATGATAATTAGATTGTGTGTGTGTGTAAGTGTGCATTTTTAAGGTGAATTGAATAATTTTTCAGTCAGATCAGTACAATGTCTGCAGTGTGGTAGTTTATGGTGATTGCTAGCACTGAGGCATCATGCTGCAGACATAGCAAACCATATTCATCACTATTCCTTTACTAACAAAAGTTTTAATCACACCATATTCATCACCATTCCGTTACTAACAAGAGTTTTATCTCACCATATTCATCACCATTCCTTTACTAACAAGAGTTTGAATCTCACCATATTCATTTCCATTCCTTTACTAACAAGAGTTTTAATTTCACCATATTCATCACTATTCCTTTTACTAACAAGAGTTTTAATCTCACAATATTCATCACCATTCCTTTGCTAACAAGAGTTTTATCTCACCATATTCATCACCATTCCTTTGCTAAAAAGAGTTTTAATTTCACCATATTCATCACTATTCCATTACTAACAAGAGTTTTAATTTCACTTCATCATCACCATTTCTTTACTAAGAAGAGTTTTAATCTCACCATATTCATCACCATTCCATTACTAACAAGAGTTTTAATTTCACCATATCCATCACCATTCCTTTACTAACAAGAGTTTGAATCTCACCATATTCATCACCATTCTTTTAATAACAAGAGTTTGAATCTTATAATATTCATCACCATTCCTTTACTAACAAGAGTTTTAATCTCACCATATTCATCACCATTCCTTTACTAACAAGAGTTTTAATTTCACCATATTCATCACTATTCCATTACTAACAAGAGTTTTAATTTCACCATATTCATCACCATTCCTTTACTAAGAAGAGTTTTAATCTCACCATATTCATCACCATTCCATTACTAACAAGAGTTTTTATTTCACCATATCCATCACCATTCCTTTACTAACAAGAGTTTTAATTTCACCATATCCATCACCATTCCTTTGTTAACAAGAGTTTTAATTTCACCATATTGATCACAATTCCTTTACTAACATGAGTTTTAATCTCACCATTTTCATCACCATTCCATTACTAACAAGAGTTTTAATCTTACCATATACATCACCATTCCTTTACTAACAAGAGTTTTAAATCTCACCATATTCATCACCATTCCTTTACTAACAAGAGTTTTGATCTCAACATATTCATCACCATTTCTTTACTAACAAGAGTTTTCATCTCGCCATATTCATTTCCATTCCTTTGCTAACAAGAGTTTGAATCTCACCATATTCATCACCATTCCTTTACTAACAAGAGTTTTAATCTCACAATATTCATCACCATTCCTTTACTAAAAAGAGTTTTAATTTCACCATATTCATCACTATTCCATTACTAACAAGAGTTTTAATTTCACCATATTCATCACCATTCCTTTACTAAGAAGAGTTTTAATCTCACCATATTCATCCCATTCCATTACTAACAAGAGTTTTAATTTCACCATATCCATCACCATTCCTTTACTAACAAGAGTTTGAATCTCACCATATTCATCACCATTCCTTTGATAACAAGAGTTTTAATCTCACCATATTCATCACCATTCCTTTGTTAACAAGAGTTTTAATTTCACCATATTGATCACAATTCCTTTACTAACAAGAGTTTTCATCTCGCCATATTCATTTCCATTCCTTTGCTAACAAGAGTTTGAATCTCACCATATTCATCACCATTCCTTTACTAACAAGAGTTTTAATCTCACAATATTCATCACCATTCCTTTACTAAAAAGAGTTTTAATTTCACCATATTCATCACTTTTCCATTACTAACAAGAGTTTTAATTTCACCATATTCATCACCATTCCTTTACTAAGAAGAGTTTTAATCTCACCATATTCATCCCATTCCATTACTAACAAGAGTTTTAATTTCACCATATCCATCACCATTCCTTTACTAACAAGAGTTTGAATCTCACCATATTCATCACCATTCCTTTACTAACAAGAGTTTTAATTTCACCATATTGATCACCATTCCATTACTAAGAAGTTTTAATTTCACCATATTCATCACCATTCCTTTACTAACAAGAGTTTTAATCTCACCATTTTCATCACCATTCCATTACTAACAAGAGTTTTAATTTCACCATATTCATCACCATTCCTTTACTAACAAGAGTTTTAATCTTACCATATACATCACCATTCCTTTACTAACAAGAGTTTTAAATCTCACCATATTCATCACCATTCCTTTACTAACAAGAGTTTTGATCTCAACATATTCATCACCATTTCTTTACTAACAAGAGTTTTAATCTCACCATATTCATCACCATTCCTTTGCTAACAAGAGTTTTAATCTCACCATATTCATCACCATTCCTTTGTTAACAAGAGTTTTAATCTCACCATATTCATCACCATTCCTTTGTTAACAAGAGTTTTAATCTCACCATATTGATCACAATTCCTTTACTAACAAGAGTTTTAATCTCGCCATATTCATTTCCATTCCTTTGCTAACAAGAGTTTTAATCTCACCATATTCATCACCATCCCTTTACTAACAAGAGTTTTAATCTTACCATATTCATCACCATTCCTTTGCTAACAAGAGTTTTAATCTCACCATATTCATCACCATTTCTTTACTAACAAGAGTTTTAATCTCACCATATTCATCACCATTCCTTTGCTAACAAGAGTTTTAATCTCACCATATTCATCACCATTTCTTTACTAACAAGAGTTGTAATCTCACCATATTCATCACCATTCCTTTACTAACAAGAGCTTGAATCTCACCATATTCATCACCATTCCTTTACTAACAAGAGTTTTAATCTCACCATATTCATCACCATTCCTTTATTAACAGAGTTTTAATCTTAACATTATTATTTATGCTTAATAGGAAGCAAATTTACATTTAAATTCTCAAAATCCATTTACATACAACCTTATAATGTCTTGATCACAGGTGATTACTATTTACTGAATGGAAGTAAGTTCTGGATTACAAATGGACCAGATGCTGATGTCATTGTAGTGTATGCAAAAACAGACTTCATTGCAGACAAGCCTCAGCATGGGATTACTGCTTTCCTTGTAGAAAAGGTGAGTGTCAGGGATATATTTTTTGTAATGATCACCTGTAATAGGTAAATCTGGCCTGTTTTCCCTATATACTTGCTTATGAGTCAAATTAATATCATTGCACTGGCAAATCTGGATTTATGCTTTTTGTTATGAGCAATAAATAGTTGCACAGCACAGTTGTTAACCATTTCTTGAGTTGACAGAATGATGTTTATATAACAGGTTTTGATACTGCATTGTAAGGATTCCTTTTTAAACCTTTGTGTCAGTTACTTATTTACCTCTGTCTTTTTCTTTTATCTATACCTTTGAAAGAATTTCAACACCTTTACGTGGTGGCCTAGTGGTAAGAGTGTCTGCCTTGGATGTGGGAGGTCATGGGTTCAATCCACGGTTGAGTCATACCAAAGACTTACAAAAATAATACTAACAGCTGCCTTGCTTAGCGCTCAGCATTAAGAGGTTAGTGTTAGGACTGGTCGGCCTGGTGTCAGGATGATGAGACTGAGTGGGACATCATCATGCTGCATGTCTGCTGCATGATGCCCAAATGCTAGACATCACTATAAACTGTTTTTACTTCAATTCTTTCACACTTTGATTGTTTGATCAGGATTTTATTGACATGCCGTTGAATTCTATGCATGTTTATATATATGCATCTGTCCATTTATATTACATACATACATACATACATACATACATACATACATACATACATACATACATACATACATACATACATACATACATACATACATACATACACATATACATACATACATACATACATACATACATACATACATACATACATACATACATACATACATACATACATACATACATATACATGCCTACATACATACATACATACATACATACATACATACATACATACATACATACATACATACATACATACATACATACAGGGGCCTCACGTGGCCTAGTGGTCTAAAGTGCTGTCCATTACGGATCACTGGCATCTGACCTCTGTCTGCGTGTGTCGGAGTCTAGGATTCGGTGAAAGTGGATATGTGAAAAAGCTTGCCAGTAGATTCTCGTAGGTCGGTTGTTCTTTCCTGTGATTTCCCGGTTTCTTCCTCGACTATTAATACTGGCCACCATGAATAGCCTATTGTGTGCTGAAAAATGGCGTTAAACCCAGCAACAACAACAACATGCATGCATGCATGCATCCATACTCTCCCTCTCCAGCAAATTCACATGTTGGTAACTCAGTAGATCTAAACTAACATTTAGCTCTATGCCAAAGGAGAGTTGTCTATATCTATTCCAAGGATATGACACACAAATGATGCTGGTACTGTAGGAAACAGTCCATAGATGTGTTAAGGATAGGACACACAAATGATGCTTGTACTGTAGGCAAAAGTTCTACATATCTGTCCCAAGAATATGATACACAAATGATGCTGGTACTGTAGGTAAGTCCAACATATCTGTCCCAAGGATATGACACACAATGATGCAGGTATTAGGCAGAAGTCCTACATATCTGTCCCAAGGATATGACACAATGATGCAGGTATTAGGCATAAGTCCTACATATATGTCCCAAGGATATGATACACAAATGATGATGGTACTGTAGGTAAGTCCTACATATCAGTCCCAAGGATATGACACACAATGATGCAGGTATTAGGCATAAGTCCCACATATATGTCCCAAGGATATGACACACAATGATGTAGGTATTAGGCATAAGTCCTACATATATGTCCCAAGGATATGACATACAATGATGTAGGTATTAGGCAAAAGTCCAACATATCTGTCCCAAGGATATGACACACAATGATGCAGGTATTAGGCATAAGTCCTACATATATGTCCCAAGGATATGACACCCACATGATGATGCTACTGAAGGTAAGTCCTACATACCTGTCCCAAGGATATGACACACACATGATGTAGGTATTAGGCAGAAGTCCTACATATCTGTCCCAAGGATATGACACACACATAATGATGGTTATGTAGGTAAGTCCTACATATCTGTCCCAAGGATATGACACACAAATGATGCTTGTACTGTAGGTAAGTCATACATATCTGTCCCACACAATGATGTAGGTATTAGGCAGAAGTCCTACATATCTGTCCCAAGGATATGACACACAAATGATGCTTGTACTGTAGGTATGTCATACATATCTGTCCCACACAATGATGTAGGTATTAGGCAGAAGTCCTACATATCTGTCCCAAGGATATGACACACACATCATATAGGTCTTAGGCATAAGTCCTACATATCTGTCCCAATGATATGACACACACATGATAATGGTACTGTAGGTAAGTCCTACATATCTGTCGCAAGGATATGACACACAAATGATGCTTGTACTGTAGATAAGTCCTACATATCTGCCCCAAGGATATGACACACACATGATGATGGTACTGTAGGTAAGTCCTACATATCTGTCCCAAGGATATGACACACACATGATGATTTTACTGTAGGTAAGTCCTACATATCTGTCCCAAGGATATGACACACAATGATTTTGGTACTGTAGGTAAAAGCCCATAGATGTCCTAATGATATGACACACAATTTATGCTAGTATTAGGTCTAAGTCCTACATGTCTGTACTAAGAATATGACAAAATTGATGTTGGTTCTATAGGTAAAGGAAAAGTTTCAATGTAATGTGCATTTAAAAAGATCATGTAAATAAATAATTCAGTTAAATGATTATTTATAAGATAAAGAGAGAAAGGCTGGTACAAGATATACACAACACAGCTGACTTAGAAAGACAGAGCCACAAGATAACCCCATGCTTTATTAGTACTCAAAGAGATCATATGAATGATGCAAATTAGAGCATCTTTTGTTTCATCTATTTATAGAGCAGTATACAATAAATTTGACTACATGTACATTGTAGGTCTATTCTGCTGAATGAAGTACATTCCATCAAGTCAAATCATGAGCACCACTGCACTAAACTTTAATAGATTCAAACCCACTTATCTTGACTTCAGTTATCTCAACAGCCTGCATGTGTGAAGCGTTTTTGGTCGGTCCCCAAAAAATCCTTCTTTGTAATGCAATTTTTTGCCCGCTTATCTCAACCTTTTAAGTTGATAACATGGTTACGTTGGGCAAAAATTTCAGTCTGAAGTAACATGTGGACCTGCTTAATTTGATGAATTGCAACATTTTGACATAATCTCAGAAATTATACAAGAAATGGTCAATTTTCATGCACAATTTTGGTCAGTTACAGTGGTAGTCACATGTTTATTTCATATTCCTTCAATTTTTGGTTTGCAAGAATAGCTTAATTGATTAGTTAATTAAGAATTTATGATGTTCACTACATAAAATATTCAAGGATTCACAAAGACAAGAGTGCACAACTTACAATGTAACTTTTTTTTATGAAAATGCAGAATTTTAGACATCAGCTACTTGTGTATTTTATCATTTCCCTTTTGTTTCTTAAGGTACATTTCAGATCTGAATTATGTTTGGAAAGACATGTATACAAGAAACAACAATCAAGGAGATACAAGTAATGAAATATTATGTACATGTATATGTATAAATTAGTAATCAATGTGCAGATGGAAAATTGCTGGTCGGCTGAATATTAAAAAGTCATAAAATTGTTCCATATGCACTTAATATCATGACAATTTATTTTATAGCATTTTATGACAAAATAGCCAAACATGTCAGCATTTTTTTCAAAAATATCTAGAAATTATAAACTGAACATAATGTATTGGTAATACAAAAATATGCAGTAAAATTACCTACACATGTACAATAAATGCATACTATATATGAATAAAAAATGAATACTTTTTTCTATTTTGAATTTATACATCTGTAGAACACAAAAATACATAAACATATAATGTGTACTGCATTATGTTTTTATAGTAAATATGAAGTATAATATCAGTCTGCATTTGTTTTATCTGATGCTGATTTTTAACAAAGGATTATGTTTTCCTATATATGCTTGGCAAGGCGATGAGTGTCGTTTACTTACGGACCTAGTTTTGAAACTCAGTAGAGTACAAATATCATTTTTTGGTGATGCATGCTAAGTTATGACAGGATATTGGCTGGTGTGTGTGCAGACAAGGCGATGGGTGCCATTTACTAGTGGACCTGGGTTTGAAACTCAGTAGATTGCAAATTAAAATTCTTTAACCTGTATGATAGTATTATTTGTATTAAATTATTAATTCTGCCTACTATTATCAATCATTCTTCTACAGAATCCAGGGATAGCACTTTCTATTCTGTTGGGTATATATTTATAATACTTTATTTGTGTGTGTGTGTGTGTAAGAAAAAGTGCCTAGACAAAACCATCAATCAATTCAGTATGTATACAAGAATTAGGACCTAGAAAAAACATTAATTCAGTATGTATAAAAGAAATAATACCTAGACAAAACCATAAACTTGGTATATATACAAGAAAAAGTACCTAGACAAAACCATAAAATATATACAAGAAAAAGTACCTAGACAAAACCATAAATTCAGTATATATGTACAAGAAATAGTACCTAGACAAAATCATAAATTCAGTATGCATACAAGTAATAGTACCTAGAAAAACAATAAATTCTGTATCTGTATAAGAATTAGTACCAGGACAAAACCATTAATTCAGTAACTGTATAAGAATTAGTAACTAGACAAAACCATACCAATACACCCAATGGGAAAGTAGTAGACTAGACTTCATTCTTGATGTATGAAGATTTGTAATGAAAGCTAACAATGATGTGAATATCTCTATCTCATTTAGGATATGCCAGGTTTTCATCCTGGTTTGAAGTTAGACAAGCTAACAATGATGTGAATATCTCTAACTCTTTTAGGATATGCCAGGTTTTCATCCTGGTTTGAAGTTAGACAAGCTAACAATGATGTGAATATCTCTAACTCTTTTAGGATATGCCAGGTTTTCGTCCTGGTTTGAAGTTAGACAAGCTAACAATGATGTGAATATCTCTAACTCTTTTAGGATATGCCAGGTTTTCGTCCTGGTTTGAAGTTAGACAAGCTAACAATGATGTGAATATCTCTAACTCTTTTAGGATATGCCAGGTTTTCGTCCTGGTTTGAAGTTAGACAAGCTAACAATGATGTGAATATCTCTAACTCTTTTAGGATATGCCAGGTTTTCGTCCTGGTTTGAAGTTAGACAAGCTAGGAATGAGAGGTTCGAATACATCAGAGCTTATATTTGAAGATTGTAAAGTTCCAGGTAAAATCTATACACAGTAATATTCTCTTTTATGGACAATCGTGTCATTGTGTTATGTATGCTAATAATTACTGATTTGTGTTGGTAGGTCTGATTCATGGGTTGGTAGTGACTGAT